CTAAGCAGCTCCTTCACACTCTGCCTGTCATTGAGGTCCGCCCTGTACCAGTTTCCCAAGCACTTCACAGGCTTTTCTTGGACAGTTGGGATCGTGTTCTCTCCAATTTTGAAGTGATACCGATCCTGAACGAGCCCCTTCTTCAGAACCAGGCTTCTAGATTTTTCTAGTTTGAACTCCATCCTTGCCCAATTTGTGATCTCAACCAAGTCCTCCAGAATCCATCTTCCTTCTGGTACTGATCTTGCTGTTATGGTGAGATCGTCCATAAATGCTCGAATGGGCAGCATCTGGACTCCACTTGCAAGTACTGCACCTCGACGCAACTTCTCTGCTGATTTGATGAGAAGGTTCATCGCTGCGGAAAAAAGGATCACTGAAATCGTTCAGCCTGTGACAATGCCCACTTCCAGTCTCTGCCAGTTGGTGGTAAACTCCCTACAGGTGAAACGCATGTTGAATCCGTCGAAGTAGTATTGCAGAAGTGCCTGAAATCGCTTAGGTATATGGTAGGTCTTCAGCGTCAGCTCCACTAGCTTGTGGGGTATTGTTCCATAAGCATTTGACAGATCCAACCACAGTACTGCCAGGTTGCCATGGTTTTTCTTCGCGTCCTCAATGATTTTGGAGATAACGCTGGTATGTTCAAGGCAGCCAGATATCCCTGGAATGCCCCCTTTTTGTACCGCAGTGTCCATGTACCCGTTCTCCAACATAAAGGTGGTCAACCTCTTTGCCAGGATCCCCAGGAAGATCTTAGCTTCCACATTGAGCAGTGAGATGGTGCGAAACTGCTTGATCCCTGAGGAGTTCTCCTCCTTAGGGATGAAGCACCCCTCTGCGATCAGCCAGTCATCAGGAAGGTAGTTCTTCACTCTCACTCTGTTGCCTTGCTGCCTCCGTCACATCAGCGATGCTGCTCCTGCTTCCCTCCTCGTCATGTGCCTGGAGATTCTGGAGACTGTGGTTTGTGTCCTGCCCCGGCCTCTCCTCCGTCTCACCAGGTTTCCCTGTGCGTTGCACATTACTTTTAGGTTGTAAGCACTTCATCTTTGTCTGATGTATCTTCAGCCCTTTCTCATTTTTGCATTTCTTCCCACATCTACAGACCCGGGATAAATCGCTTGGCTGTTCCGTAGTCGTTTGTCCGTTGATGGTGGTCATAACGTTGTTCTGCCCTTTGGGTCGATCATCCTCCCCCGCTCTCACTCGGCCCCGGGGGTATCTGGTAATATACCTTTCCATAGTGGTTGTTTGGGTTTTCTCCTCACGGAGAGTGTGGTTGGCCTGCCAAGCCGCCACACCCCAGCTCTGGTCTTTCTCAGATGTCAGCAGTCTTTCCTCGCTGTCACCGTTCTTCCTCGGTTGCCAACTTGTCTTTCCAAGTGGTCACTGGGTCTGCCAGAAAGAAAAACATAATGTATAAATATCTGAGACATGTATCTCAAAAATAAGGGGATTTAGATATGCAAAAAGTATATATATATATATATATATATATATATATATATATATATATATATATATATATATATATATATATATATACAGGTGCTGGTCATAAAATTAGAATATCATGAAAAAGTAGATTGATTTCAGTAATTCCATTTAAAAAGTGAAACTTGTATATTATATTCATACATTACATACAAACTCATATATTTCAGATGTTTATTTTGTTTAATTTTGATGATTACAAATGACAACAAATGAAAATCTCAAATTCATCATATCAGAAAATTAGAATATTGTGAAAAGGTTCAAAATTGATGGCCCCTGGTGCCACACTCTAATCAGCTAATTAACTCAAACCACCTGCAAAAGCCTTTAAATGGTCTTTCAGTCTAGTTCTATAGGCTACACAATCATGGGGAAGACTGCTGACTTGACAGTTGTCCAAAAGACGACCATCGACACCTTGCACAAGGAGGGCAAGACACAAACGGTCATCGCTAAAGAGGCTGGCTGTTCACAGAGCTCAGTGTCCAAGCACATTAATAGAGAGGCGAAGGGAAGGAAAAGATGTGGTCGAAAAAAGTGTACAAGCAAGAGAGATAACCGCACCCTGGAGAGGATTGTGAAACAAAACCCATTCAAAAATGTGGGGGAGATTCACAAAGAGTGGACTGCAGCTGGAGTGAGTGCTTCAAGAACCACCACACACAGACGTATGAAAGACATGGGTTTCTGCTGTCGCATTCCTTGTGTCAAGCCACTCTTGAACCACAGACAGCGTCAGAAGCGTCTTGCCTGGGCTAAAGAGAAACAGGACTGGACTGCTGGTGAGTGGTCCAAAGTCATGTTCTCTGATGAAAGTAAATTTTGCATTTCCTTTGGAAATCAAGGTCCCAGAGTCTGGAGGAAAAGAAGAGAGGCACTTCATCCACGTTGCTTGAAGTCCAGTGTAAAGTCTCCACAGTCAGTGATGGTTTGGGGTGCCATGTCATCTGCTGGTGTTGGTCCATTGTGTTTTCTGAGGTCCAGGGTCAACGCAGCCACATACCAGGAAGTTTTAGAGCACTTCATGCTTCCTGCAGCTGACCAACTTTTTGGAGATGCAGATATCATTTTCCAACAGGACTTGGCACCTGCACACAGTGCCAAAGCTACCAGTACCTGGTTGAAGGACCATGGTATCCCTGTTCTTAATTGGCCAGCAAACTCTCCTGACCTTAACCCCATAGAAAATCTATGGGGTATTGTGAAGAAGAAGATGCAATACACCAGACCCAACAATTCAGAAGAGCTAAAAGCCACTATTAGAGCAACCTGGGCTATCATAACACCTGAGCAGTGCCACAGACTGATCGACTCCATGCCACGTCGCATTGCTGCAGTAATACAGGCCAAAGGAGGCCCAACTAAATACTGAGTGCTGTACATGCTCATACTTTTCATGTTCATACTTTTCAGTTGGCCAACATTTCTATAAATCCTTTGTTTTTATTGGTCTTCAGTAATATTCTAATTTTCTGATATGATGAATTTGAGATTTTCATTTGTTGTCATTTGTAATCATCAAAATTAAACAAAATAAACATCTGAAATATATGAGTTTGTATGTAATGTATGAATATAATATACAAGTTTCACTTTTTAAATGGAATTACTGAAATCAATCTACTTTTTCATGATATTCTAATTTTATGACCAGCACCTGTATATAAAACCATCCCAGTCTCCTCTATCCTTTAAAAGCCTGCTTATATTTCCAGCAGTCTCACAACTTTAATGCTTGTGAGGTTCAACTTCTTTTAGTTTGCTGAAATATTTGTTGAAATTCTGCAAATTTCTGGACTTTCTGACTTTTACTTAGAGACACACCAACAACAGTAAAGGTTAAGTTAAGGGGCATTTTAAGGCCCTTAATGATCAACTCTTTGTAGTTTCGCTATGAAAACTAACAGTGACACCTGATGGTAGATCATGATACAGAGGTTCATTCTAAATCGAATTAAGGCATTGTAGCAAGAATCTATAATCTCTATCATCATTATTGGACCATTATGAGATGTTAAAGTTAGTCGGCTCAGAGTGCACAAAAAGAAATACAACACAGATAAAACGAAAACACTTTAGAAGGTCCTTGATAATTCATAGATAAAAACATGGCTGTACATATTTGGCAACCTGCGAATCACAAAAGGCTTGAATCAGAAGTAATTTGACGTTTGCCCAATGAAAAAAATAAATATAAAAATACCTGACTCTTCTTTGTCAATTCTGTTTGCACTTGAGCAACCTGTAGATGGAGCACTGATACCATAAAGTACCTGAAGGCCCATCCTCATAAGCACATTCCACTCTGGAGGGGAATGTGTTTGAGGTGGTACATGAAAATAAATACCTTGGAAATGTAATTGATGACTTCCTTACCTTCAAACCTTTTATTGATAAACTTGTTAAGAAATTTTTAATAAGACAGGTTTTTCTTTTGGAGTAAAAAAAGCGCCTTGTCTCTGTCGGTCTTTGATTATGGTCACGTTTTTTATAAGAATGCTACTTCTTCACGTCTTCAAATGTTGGATTCTGTTTCCTATGCTTCATTAAGGTTCATCACAGACTGTAGAGCCATGACACGTCACTGTGACTAGGGAAGCCCGCTTTATCATCCCAACAACTCTAAAAAACTTATCTTTCTCTCCTAAAGAAAAGTGTACCCACATCATAATGCTGCCACCACAAATTTTCATAGTTTCACAGATTGTGTGTTAAGAATTATTTGCTTTTTCAATTTTGTTGCAAGTCAGAAAGTAAGTTGACCTTTGGCCTCCCCTGACCGGAACCCCTTCACAGAGCCACTTTGTGTCCTCCTGAGATTTGCAGATGGACTGTGCAAGTTTGTTACCCCAGGCTCACACCGACTCCGGTCTTACCGTTGCGGTGCGGTGGGTGCGGCGCCGCAGTGATTCCAAGTCATTAAAAAGACGTAAACCTCTCTCACCGGCTGCTGAGCTGTCCGGCTGCGGTTACCGAGACACTCCGGCGCTGCAGGAAAATTCCGCAAAAAAGCTATCCTTGCGGCGTGCCGGAGCCCTCCGCAACAAGCTCTCGCAAAAATCCTTTATTTGGGCCGTGTTATCGCATGAAGTTACGTGAACTCAAGTGAACTTCTGTTAAATCTCCGGACCTGTTACCGGAGCCGCAGAGCCGCACCGCACCGTAGTCAAAAGGGTGGTGTGAGAGGGGGTGTGCGGGAGTTGCGGTCTCCGTCGGCTCGGTAACTGCACCGGAGCCAGTGTGAGCAAGGGGTTAGTTGGCTGCTAAAGAAACAAAGTTATAATGGATTGTATTTATTGGTCTCAGAGTATGTGCTTACTATACTCTTTTATTATTTTATTTTATTCTGACAGAAATAAAAATGATTAAAAAGAATATGATATGAATATGAAGAATATAATATGAAAAGTTCAAATGGTACTTCAATACTTCTGGAAAGCACTGATGTATGCGGCAGTAATTAATAGCTGGTAACCATATGGTATGTGGTGTCGTTTCAGGTCCACATCGGTGGAGAAGATCACATTCACCTCCGTGTTTGGAGAAAACTCCCGTGTTACGGAGACGATGCTTAGATGACCGACATGCAGGTCTCCAAGAGCCACCATGACCCCATTGAGTACTTCTAAGGCTCACAGTGAAGATCCGAGATCATGCGGACGGCAGTGAAGAAAGCAAATAGTCAATATCCAGCATACAAAGTGCACCTCATATGTTGATATCATATAACAGCTGCTCTTGTGTAAATTGTTTACTCCTCAGTAAATCATGCAAATCACATGTTTCATCAATTAAAATAATCATTTGTAAGCAGTTTGTATACCCTGATTTCTGCTATTAGTCACATGTATGTTCCTCATTTTTTTGCATGCAGCATGACTCATAATATTCCTCTAAATGCAGACCTGTGTCTCTGCAGTTGGGGTTTTTAAACATTTTTCATCTACTGCATAGAACAAACTAAATCTGCAGCTTCATCAGGGTTCTTTTTAAGTCCATATATCACTATTCACACAGGCCTAGTTGTGAGCTTAAATTTTAATGTTCATATTGTAGCTTAATTCCTATTGGAATGTGTAGCTAATCAAAAAGCACAATCATGTTTCCAATTATGTTGAATGAAATGAAACTAAAAGAAACCCAGATCATTACCTTTAACTGATTTAAGTACTCGTCCAGTGACTCACATTAAGCCTCCATTTAAATCAAAAGGATATATATTGCACTTCCACTTCTTACTGCAAACACAATAGAAATTGGTAGAGTTTACCTGACTTATGCAGTCAGGGTCATTATTGCAGTATTCCATGCTGTTCTTTAGTCATCGGCCAAAAAATTATAGCAATCTGCAACATGAAGACAAAAAGAAAAAAAAGCCACAGACAAAGTTGTGGAGTAAAATGAAATCCGTTAGTAGGACAACTTAATTGTGCACTTGAATGTTTTTAGAAAACCAGAGGTCCTATTTTGCGTTTGTCACAAAGCGTGGAAGACAGATCATAAAAACTTTCTACATCTTACTTACTAGTGTTTAGACCATCAGTTAAAAAGAAACCAATACAATATAAAAAGACATACCTAAGGTGGAAGACTATTAGTTGTTAAACCAAACAAATCTTAGCTTTACAGTTCAATCACCTGGCACCATCATCCTCTTAAGATGCTTGTTTAGTATGGACATGAGAGCTGATGATCAGAATGTCTGATCAACAACCAGCCTGACCTAGAGTGCTTTAAATAAGTGGTGTCTGTCGCTACCCGATCCGTACCGGTAGCACGATCCGTACCATCAGCTCATTTGCGCCTGCGCGAACAGAATAACTTCCGGGTCGCCAAAAAATAATGTAATTACGGTACTGAAAAAACTTTATTTATATCCTTAAATAATTAAAGAATACTAAACTACATCGTAAAGACAATATTGAAGACTTTTCTGGAAGAAATGGATGCTTTTTAAATTCAATCCATTGTATTGCTTGACGTCATTTTTCTGGAATAAAAATCCAAATTTTCAGGAAATGTTCCCTTATCAATGAAAAACTGCAGGTCACGAAAGGTAGCAAATTAATCCATTGTGGGATCAGTACTGCTGGAGTGCATAGTTAAGTACAGAGTAAATCAAATATTTAAACAAATTTAAATATATACGCTGTGTGACGTATATTTGCGCATGCACAGAGCAGTCAAAGTAACTATCACAAGGCGAGTGAACTTTTTTATGTATTTCAGTTTTTTTATTTTTAGAAAATGCAATATTGACGAAAATACAAAGATATACAAAAAAAAAAAACATGCCTCTAAAAAATACAAAAGAATAAAAAAGTAAGAAAAAGGAAATATTGCCACCGGAAGTTATTCTGTTTGCGCACGCGCAAATGAGCTGATGGTACGGATCGGGTAATGACAATGTCCAAAGCCCCTTCTGGAAGCCTGGATCAGAGGTTTCCCTGGTTAAACATACATGCACCATCTAAAAGTATCTGTTCAACTGAAATCTTTTGTGAAAGTTGATAATATTGTTTTTATTAAAAGTGATTATATAATTTTCTTTCAATTTAATATATTTAATCATTGCAGTGGCTGCTGAATTACTGGTAAAAGCTTATTATTTGGGCCAAACAGCACTTTAAAATATCGTGTTGGAAAAGAGGAATGAGAACAGAGGGAGGTGTTTGGTATCTTCATGACTGAGGTTTGTTTCAAAACTTGCTTTTCCACTGTTACCACTTGGCTGTGTCCCAAATTCATCCAGCTGTCTATCACTAGCAGCCGTTCCTTGGACTCAACTTCAAGAGGGAAAGGGGGGAGGAATGTGAGAAGGTAGAGAACTTGCCCCTTTAAGTAGAAAGCTTGAATAAATAAGCTGTGAATGTGATTTATTATTTTCATTTGTGAACTACAGCATGTTTCAAAATTATTTTATTTTCTATATCCCAATTAGAGTATCAACCACAATAAAAACACCCCCTCCGATCTTTAATGATGGTACGCTCCGCATTGTTGAATCATGTGATTTACTGACTCAACTTAAAAGCCTCATAGACATTACGTTCTTGCATTTTGGCTCTATTTTCGCTTACCTACAGTATGGAACCTTTCAGAGTTATTCCAACTATGATGTGTGGAGGCACCTCTGAAGTTATGGAGGCCGATGAGAACATTCAGCAGATTTGTGATAAAGTAAGAAAATAACTCGCATTTGTCTAAAAAGACCAAGAATTCAAGGCAGAAATCGTTTCCGTCTGACTTTTCCCCGTTTCTCTGTTTTTCAGGTGAAAACTCATGTGGAGCAGAAAGCAGGAAAGAACTATGACGTCTTCACCGCCAAGAGCTACAAGAGTCAGGTTGTTGCTGGGACCAACTACTTTATAAAGGTAGATATTGGTTATAAGGCTGAATAGTTGGCGAATCATCCTGGAAACCTGTATTTAGTATTTTAAAACGACAATCTCTTATGTAAGATTTTATCGCAATACTTCTGTTTCGAGGTTTAATAAGGTTTAATTAAAGCTAGGTTATTGGAAAATAAACTCGGAAAAAACACAAACTTTCAAAGGATAATGTTATTAAACTGTACACACCCAGATTAATCAACTTTAGTTACTGTTTTATCTTGTAGTTGTAAGAAATCAATCAATCCAAGTATAAAAACTGAACTTAAGAAGTTCAAATTGTTCAAAATAATGTTCAAGTAGATCTACAACTATTACACCACCTTTGTTTTTGTGTGATTGAGTTTTTTTTTTTTTTTTTTTTTTTTTTTTTTTTTTTTTTAGATGATATACATTAAGAACAAAAAAAAAAGAAAACAACTGTGTCTATTTTTATTCTATAATGGTTTCAAATTGTTCGTCCTTTTCCAAAAAGGCCAAGAATCTCATCGACTGGTTTACTGAACTGAAAACATTAATTTTCAGTTCTTTTCACAGAATCCTAACTAAGGTCTGAACTTTGACTGGGACTTTCCAACAAAACATGCTTTAATCTAAATTATTCAATTTTATCCCTTTCTGTATGTTTGCTATCTTCATCCTGCCAGAATTTTTTGTAAATTCCAGTTATCTTCCCCATCCCTGTAAAAAACAGGGACAGGGAAGCAGGGCATGACACTTCCACCTCCATACTTTAACATGGAGACTGTTGAAACAAAAATGTATGACAAAATGCTAATTATTACAGTGCATTTTGTTCCGACAATCTAAAGGAAGGTCAAGCAGTAACCGCTTTGTAATAACATTTTTCGTGAATAAAAGTGTGCTCAAGTGAGTACAGTACTAACTGTTAGTTTTTATCTTTCTCAGGTCCATGTTGGGGGTGATGAGCATCTTCACATCCGTGTCTGGGAGAAACTGACGTGCAATGGAGGGGAAGTAGAGTTGAGTGATATTCAGCTCTCCAAGAGCCACCATGATCCCATCGAGTATTTCTGAATAGCTGTATATTCTAGCAGAGCTCTAGGCCTGCAGAATGCTCCCTCAGTGTCGTCAACCTGTTGTCTTGTTTTCTCACCCGCAGTGATAACTGACATTTTGAGTCATATGCAGCATAACTTGAAACCATTAAAGAATTGTTTTTATGCCATTTGTCTGAATAAACTGAAAGGGAATTGATTTGTGTCTTTTCTCTCCCTGCTGCAGCTGCTTACCTAAGATCTCCTGACAAGGTGAAACATCGATAGATAACAGGATGACAGTTTTTAAAACCTTTCTTTTTCTCAATTCTATTAGAACTGGAAGAATGCATCCTCTCTGAAGGGTACATGAGCAAATACACACTCAGAAAAAGGTATAAAATTATACCTTTAAGGGCTCAGGGATGTCAAAATGGTTCCAGAAAGGGCTGTGTGGCTGCAGGTTTTCTTTCCAACCAAGCAATAGCACACAAGACTCTAGTCATCTCATTAGTGAGTCCAATCTGAACATGAAGACTTCATGAGATGAATGGAATCAGGTGTGCTATTGTTTGGTTGGAATGAAAACCTGCAGCCACACAGCCCTTTCTAGGATCAGTTTGACACCCCTGGTACAAATGCTTGTCACTGGGTGGTACACTCCAAGGTACTACTATTTTTATCCTTAGCACGGTACTTATGTGCACCCCTATTAATTGCCCTGCATAGGTTAAGAATTATATCTTTGGTGACAATCTTGAACCCTATTAGAAAAAAAAAATATGTATATATATATATATTATATGTATATCAAGGTTCCCGCGGGTCATTAAAAAGTCTTAAAAGGCATTGAATTCTTCAAAATAGAACTAAGGCTTATGCTTATGCATTCCCACTTATTGTTGTTCACTTTTTATTTTTCTGACTCTAACTAGTCCCGTAGTTTTCAACCGATTTCAACAATTTTGGTATCAAAAC